GAGCGCAGTGGTGTGATTAACTGGGAAGGAGGGGGGCGGGAGCGGGGGAACTATGCTGGGGGCGCCCCCGCTACCACTGTCTTCCCCAGCAGCTCTGGACTCCGAGCTGGGGACTCAGTCGCTGCTAATGATTCCAGAAGGCTTCGCTGAACCTGGGTTGGGGGGGAGTAAAGTGGGGGGAAGAAAAATAGCCAATCAACCCCCTGGGAACTGCAGAGCTTTTGCCCACCTCTTCTAGCCACCAGAGGAAAAAAAACCAGCCTCCTTGATTGTGTTTTATAACAGTGGGCTCGGCAACGTCAGCTCCTCATGAGTGAAGTTAACGCTTGCCTGGGCAGCTCTGATTTAGCGAGGAGTCATTTACCGTAGCCAAGGGCTGGGGCTGGAGACAGAAGACAGCCCTGAAGCAAGAGATGCAGGCATCTCCAGGGTGGACTTCCACTGCCCAAGGTGACACCAAGACCATTTAGATGTCTGCCTCAGTGGGTTTTACTGGAGCTGGGCGCAAGTACCCGGCTAATGAACCGCATTGATTTCCTATTCTCCTGTTGTCCACCTAAATGGCAAGCGGTGCATCTGATAGATGAAATAACCACATGATTGCCTGGCTTGACATCTCAATCACTTCGCCGTCGGGTCTCTAATGAATTTTACAGCCCAGCAAAATGGAAGAAATTAAGGTCAAAGTCCAGTGGAGGAAATATAAATTCCTAGTGACTTTTGAAGTATTCGCAAGAGCTCCCAGAAGCTAGTCACACCTCCCATCATCTACAACTCCCATTTCATCCAGGTGACAGGTATCATCTGGGGTCAGCAGGGAATAGGGGGACAAAAGCAAAGAAGGAGGGAATAGTCAAATGGGTCCTTGCCTCAAGACGGACACAAACATGTTGAAACCTGGCCTGGAGAAAGGGAATGGCAAAACCCAACCAGCATCCAACAGGAATGAAAATAATTCATCCTGAGTAGGACATAGTCCACAGTTCCTCTGAATGTGAAGCAAACCCAACTGGAGAATGGGCTTTTTAAGTTGTCAGCAAGAGTTAGCAAGCCCAAAACATGTCCCTGCCTAGCAGGCAAACACCCAGAGAGAGCAATGGCACTGCTCTTTGTTCAGCCCAAGGAAAACTGTGGTCCAGAAGCCACAGGCTGTGCCCTGGGAAGACAATATCCTCACTCCCTGGGAGCTGGAAACTACACCCGAGTCTCAGTCAGCCAGTAAACACCTGCTTCTCAAGGGTGTTTTAGGGGATGGGGAGCCTTAGCTTTACTCCTATGATCAGAGGCACCTTTGCCTGAGGGAACAGAGCCTTGGGAGAGACGTGGGTGCTAGGGACCAGCTTAGAAAACAGATTAAAATCCCCACAGCGGTGGCTCTGTCAGAGCTTTGCGGGTGCGAAAGCACAACAGAGCTGCTGGGAGAGGGTATCATCAAGGTGAAGACGGCGATGGCCCTAAGGGGACTGCCAAGATGGATGTGTGAAGGTGGGCTGCTTGCACGGCAGCAAGTACCACACCTTGGGAAAAATTCTCCCTTCATCTCGCAACCACCTTCCAAATCACCAGCAGGGGAAAC